TTTTATTTCTAATCTTTATTAATGACATTGCAGATGATATGATTGGATTAAGTAGAATATTTGCAGACGATATATCTATTGGACATACTGCTCCAGATGAAATTACTCTTCAATCCATGATAAATATCGATTTACAAAATATTAATTCCTGGGCAAATGATTGGCTAGTTAAATTCAATCCAAATAAAACTAATATTATGTTGTTTATTATCAAAAGCTCAAAAAATAACTTGATTTTTGATTTTTGCGGAGTCCAGGTAGATACAGTTCCTAGTCACAAACATTTGGGTTTACTTTTTCAGTAGTGACTGCAAGTGGACCAAGCATATAGATTACTTAATAGAAAAGGTATCAAAACAATTAAAATGTTCTGAGACAAATGAAATTCCGACTAAAAAGGGAATATTTAGAAAAAATATATTTAACTTTTTTTTATTAGCCCCGTTCTTGAATATTCTTCTGAAGTTTGGGATAATTGCGGACAATCGAATTCTGAAAGATTAGAAAAATTACAACTGGAAGCAGCACGTATAGTCACTTGTCTAACAAGCTATGCTAGTACTCAATCACTTTATTTAGAAACGACTTGGGAAAAGTTTAAGATTAGACGGGAAGTTAAAAAAATAACTCTATTTTACAAAATTATGTATGAGGATGCTCCAGAATACTTATTAGATTTAATATCTCCTACCTTTGCAGAAACACATAATTACAATCTACGAAGTAGTCAAAATATATACCAAACTCCCCGCAGATTGTCCCTTTATCAAGAATCCTTTATTCCATCTAGTGTTAAACTGTGGAATTCACTCGATATAAGTATTAGTAATGAACTCTCTTTAAATATGTTTAAATAAAAAATTAAGCAGAAATATTGGTAAGAGTTCCGTATGGCACCCCACCATACAAAAGAACACAATAATGTATTACAGTTTATTCCGTGGGGGATGCCATATGGAACTCTTTCCGAAATATTATAAATACAAATCAATCCCTACATATTTCACAATTGGCGATAGATATTTAAATCTTTTGCACACAAGATTAAGAAATAAATGCAGTGCTCTTAACATGGATATGTATCGTGCAAATATTAAACCCAATGTGTCAATGTGGATATTTATATAAAAATACTCAACATTATTTCCTCTCGTGTAAAAATTATACAGCTCAAAGGAATACCTTATTTTTTGAACTAAGAAAAGAAAATATCCCTACTGATTTAGAAACTTTAATGTACGGTAATAACATGTATAATATGGACCTAAACACGTTAATTTGATTACTTTCACTAAAGTGCAGAATTATATTGATGAGACCAATCACTTTTCATAGTGTATAGACATTATGGCTAATTATATAAACATTTATAGTGTAATTACTTTTTGTTGACCTCGAATGATTTTATATGTAATATCCCAATAGTTGACAACAACAATTTAATTGCTTTAAAAATAAAAACTTACCTTAACTTACCTTTAGAGTGTATATTTATTCCGAGATTAAAACAGCCTACTTGGTCTTTTTTATAAATAAATTTACGTTCAACTCGACTTTTTGAAATCGATGAGCCATGTCGTTTAAATACCTGTTCATTAATATTGTATATGATGTTATTTACATGTATTTTATTTTGTTCAGTTATTTGTTATTTGTATTATAATATAGTGTTATTAACTGGCTGTTTCTGTATTGGCCCTGTTATAGATTCGAGGTTAGCTGTATTGGACCCGAGACTCTCATGTTTGTATTAACAGTTTGCAAGTGTGAGTTCATCAATTTTTATTTGATGGTTCCTTTTGTACAATGTTCATAAATTGTTCAAGTCTTTTATTGTTTTCATCGTAATAACCATTGATGATGTTATGTGTCGTTTTTCATTTTATTTGTTCAAGAGTGAGCCGATACGACGTCCATGCATTCAGTTTTTCACCAACAGAAGGAGGGTGTTAATCTTATCCAAACTGTGTGGGCCAAGTGGAACGTCGGTCAAAGTAATATCAAATTGGGCGAATGGATGATATACACACAGGTAATAGAAATTGGTACTGTGAACAAATCTTACAAAATTATACCCCGCACCTTATTTTCAACTTAATAAAAGTCTATGATATTTTCAGTTATGGAAACTTAAAAATAATTCGGATAAAACGCAAATAAGAAGTGCACAATGACACGCATTATATGGTTAAGATTCTGAAAATTTTTCAATAATTCTAATAGAGACATAGATTTCTGATTCAAATATGGGGTTTGAAGGAGCTACAATGGGCATCTTCAAGATAAAGCAACGACAAAGTCCATGATTTGCAATGGAAAAACAAAAACCACGGTGAAGATTCTTTCACGTGTTTCATTAAATTCTGGTTAGGTGTTTACAAGTTGAAGTTTATATAAACGTGTACTATAAAGTGCGGATTTGATAAATTTCAAGTCATGCAAAAAATAGACCCACAAGTCATTCCGATGTAGAAATAAAATAGGAGCGCAAACGAACTTCATAAAATTCTGTGAAAGTTTCACAAAATTCTGCCAAGCTTTTCAAGAACAGTAATGAGATAGAAAAAAGTTGAACGGAAAGAAGAACAGACTTATGTACTAAACAATACATGAAACAAACATATGATAGACAGCAACCAACGACTGAAATACAGGCTCCCGACTTGGGACAGACAGAGTCAGCCTATTTCAATTGATTATTAAAGTTTTCTCTTATGTTGTGCTGTAACGCATCTCTGCCAGATATTAAGTGCTCACAAACATGTTTAACCCCGCAACATTATATACATGTGACTGTTCCAACATAGGAGCCTCTAATGCAGTAGTTGTATATGGTTGCTGTCTGTAAATTTTTTTTTTCGTTTATAGTTCAGTACATAAATCGGGCCGTTTGATTGTTTGAATTGTTTTACAATTTGTCATGGCGGGGTCTTTTATAATTGGATTTACGGTATGTGTATTGCTCACTGTTGAAGGCTGTACTATAAAAGAGAGGCAAAAGGTACCAAAGGGACATCTAAACTCATAAGTCAAAAACAAACTGACAATGTCATGGCAAAAAACGACTAAAAGACAACACAACAGTACAAAAAACACAGTATAGTAAACTAAAGAATGAGCAACACGATCCCTACAAAAAATCCAGGGGTGATCTCATGTGCTCCGGAAGAGTAAGCAGACCCTGCTTCACTAAGCTATAGTGCTTAAAACTACGTCATTATGACTCTGTTGGGAAGTGGTTTCATTGGTATCTTGCTATGTCTCCTTATTTGAGTGGTTAAACATAATGTTTGTGACCCCCTTCCTAACTTAAGACAGTGGTGTAACAGCCAAAGGTTAAACTTATCAGATCGACTCAAAGCAACAAAATACAACTAATAAAAAGACCAAAAACAACAAAGTGCGGATCTGAGAGTACTCGCCGTTACTGAAATATAGTTCAAAGCCAACGCATTACAACTAGTAAATATGTCATGTTTCCGAGACTCAAATATAAGTCAATACACATTCAATGGATTGAGTTGGTAATTACGTCATAAATAGTGTGCGAAAAACATGTGTAATACCAAAATATAAGTATAAACATGATGTAGGACAGTACGTGTGGAAAGGAAAAGAGTACAATTTTAGGCAGGTTTTAATCTGTATCAAAATCAGTGTTAAAAAAACAATATTAAAAGATCTTATTACAGTATTTAATTGATAACCTTTTAGAATAAGTTTATTCAAATGATCGATAAATTTAAATGAATCATATCTAAATTAACGGGCTCTATAAACAACCTCACCGTAAACAAATGAGGATGTGATATTCCGTTTGTAATACGTTTTCGACAGAAATTGTAAGTAACATCATCTAGCACCGTAGCTGTGCGTACAGATAATAGGGAACGAAAGTCATCCCTTTTGTGGTACTGTTTTGTCTATTCTTTCTTTTTACCGAGGTTTCTGATATTGAAAAACATGATGCGTTTTTGCTTTTTCCTTTCATAACAAAACGACAAAATTATATAAACTAAATTATTTTACATTCAATCTTAAAATCATGTAAAATCACGATTTGCAAGACGCGGGATTTGGTAAACCGACACATAACCGAACACACATACTGCATATTCTTTGAAACACGTGTGAATTATATGTTTTAAACTTTACATGATTTTATGCCCATAAATGGCGGTATAGAAATTTCTTAAGCAAGTACAAAATTTCGACTAGTGGTTGTCTTTTTCAGACAAGTGATATATTATGATCACTTGCAAGTTATTAAAAAAAAATAATGCGAACCCTGCACTAATGCATGCTAATTTTGATCTTTTGCTACTAATCTGAACATGCAAACCTACAAGAAAGACAGAAAAACCCGAGGACACAACCAATGCATAAACTCGGTGGGGTAAAACAATGTCAAACATAATAAGACAGCTAAAACAATTACTATCCACACTGATCTGTTTCCACATTTGTATATATATCATAATGGTGTATTGATCTTCATTTTATTTTTACGATATATCCATGGCACATTTACCTCCGTCTGTATTATGAAAATGGCACAAATGGGAATAACAATGGTGAGATCATACAAAGCATCTGGAGTCGGTTTCACAAAAAAACTTTCGGCTAAGATTGATCGTAAGTCATGAACAATTCAGTATACTTACGATCAATCTTAGTCGTAATTTTTTTTTGTGAAACCGACTCCTGAACATCGAATGACGAACTGGTGTTCGCATGCATCATATATTTAAGTACAGTAAACTTTGCGTTAAATACACGCAAATGACATTCAAAACGTACTATTTTAGAAAGAAGCGGGCTTGTCTCAGTTGGACAAAAAAGTCGCTCAAAACGACGCCGACTATACATGACCTACATTCCTGATTTTAGGACTAGGGGCAAACAGGGGTCAGCTTAAGGGCTAAGCTATATTTCAGCTATAATGATAAAGGGTTTGATCTATTCTTTGATATGTTTATAAAGTTACGCTTTGACGCTCAAAATTTTACCTGTATATATACGGTGCGACTTGTAGCGAAAAAAAGGTAAAAAGTTTGGTTTGACATGTAATGAACATCTATAAGTTATTTGCATCCATGTCGATCAACTGTTGATGGGAAATATTGGATGAGGAAAGGACTAAATGGGCAGTAAGTCTTCTGTAATATTATTTCGTTTGAATAATTTGTGACAAAGCTTGTTAGCTTCCTCTTATGCGTTTAGTGTTATGTTCATTTTGTCACATTTATACTTTTGTCTTCCGCTAAGTAAGTAAAACTGAACACTAGTACATTAATTAAAATTCGCTAGCAGTTTCTCACTTGCTGTCATTTTATATGTGACCTTGCATATTTCTTTAATTTATGCTCATGGGTGAGTTTAGCTAATGTTTAATCTGCGGATGTTGTAATGATACTTAGTATTTTGGTCACCGAAACTAAATATTTAAATGCAAAAGAAATATTATTTTTTAAAAGAGGTTTGCTGTGGTGCAGGGGGAATGTTGTAAGCAATGTTTTGGAACATTCACTACACTTATATATTAATATACCGGTATTAAAAGAAACTTACTTCTGTGAAATATTCGATTACAAAATGAAAATGGAAATGCATGTTGATTTGAATGTATCTATATATAACAGAAACTTGCACAAGTTTAAAATAAAACAAAATAAATGCAATGTATACCGAGAACTTTTATAATAATATAATTATAAATTCTTCCTTTCAAAATCCTTGGTTTTACATATGATAGTCATATCTTGTCATGTCTTTGTAAAGAATATGCACGTGAAGTTAATTGATAGGAGCATTCAGAGAGTCTTCGGACATTCCTATATACAACAGCTTATAGAACGTATAAATTAAAGATACATACTTTAAATATGTAAACGCAGTTTGGTTAAAGTGAATCGGTAATGGAAGAATAGTTTTATGCAGGGGACCCGGCCACCTTATTGAGCTTCATATATGATAAATGCATATAGACTTTTTACAAGTATCACGCCAGACATTGGCTTGCTAAAGGGACCCTCCTTTTTTCAAATTCCTGGAACCGCACCTATATAGTGGTAACATTATTCCCTAGTTCCTAGGACTATTGCACTAAGTATATTAGTCCCAGCTAGTTCTTTAAGTAATGCAACTTTCTTATGCAACCCAGTATATGAATAGAAAAACGAAAGCGTTACTTAAAAAAGCAACACATATTTAAAATGCATTAATGCAACATATTAACACAGTCATATTAAATAAAATGAAGAGATTAATTTAATTTTTATTCACTATTGAAAATTATTTGAAGCATAACAAAACTTAAAAGCGTAATAACATTTATATTTGTGTTTCTTCTGTAATGCTCCATCAGTGGCGCAACATTGGTAGTAATAAGTTTTGATTTGAATAATCTGAGATTTTTTTTGTGTAATAGTACAATTAAGGATTTATATAGTAAATAGTCTTAATATATATCTCGAGTAGTATATAAATGGTTGGAATAATATTTTGATTTTGTCTCTGTTTGAAAATACATATATGAAAATAAAAAAGAATCAACAAGGCAAATGCCGGCCTGCGTCTTTAATATGATCCAATATAATTAAAATATAGAACTCGGATTTCTTTATACTACTACATAGCTAGGTAGTATAACGAAATCCGAGTTCTATATTTTAATTAGATTGTAATATGATCCAAAACTAAGACAAACACATGCAGGCAGATATCCAGTTGAAATTAAACAAAAGAAATGTAACTCTTTATTAGAGAAGGAAAAAAGCCCAAGTTGGTTTACATCTGTTTATACTGCACTCGTTCTATTTGAGCAATCAAAATGCGTTGACCGTATATTTCTATGTCATATACAGTCACTGACCTGATATCACTTAAATGAATATTTAGATAGAAATTGCCGAAATTATAATTAATTATTCATACGACCTATTCAACCTGTTCTTGTTTCCAATGTATACAACTACTCAAACTTATTTCTTTTGCAAATTTTAGAAAAAAAAAACATATTTCACTTGTTAATATTTTTGGTTTGCAAACTATAAATCATTATGTTTTATGCTTATTGTTGATATTTTAGTTCATTCTCAATCAAATTCGTTCACCATCGATTGCGGGTTTCAACAGGTAATGTACATTTCATTGTGTTGTTTATTTCTCCACCTGCATGATATGAGGCCTTTTTATAAAAGGGGGAAGTTTCCCAATATTTAAATCAAATAATAACATTAACACATTAAACAACAACTGAAAATGTTTTTTTTTAAATTGCAGTATATAGACAATAATAGTGCATTGACTTGACATATCAACGATATAAGGATTCGGCCCGAAACGGGGAAAAAGCTCGGCAGAGCCTCGCATTTCCCCGTTTCTAAGCCTCATCCTTATATCGTTGATATGTCAAGTCAATGAACTATTATTGTCTATTTCAATTGCTTTAAAAGTTTAATGTAGGTGCATAATCTAAGATTTTTTGCATCTTATATACGTGTTTTTATTTAAATTATAGTATGGCATAAAGATATAAGAATGACCCTTATAAAGCATTATTTGCATCTCTGACCCCGGCGACAGTTTTATGTGAAAAAATCCTAAAAATGTGCAATAATCTCATCGAAAAGAGAAAGTCGAGTACACCTTTTTGATGTTCAGGCGTTTTTGAGTTGATTGCTTTTTTTTTTAAAACGTATAAAGCAAACATATTTGATACACCATCTCGCTATAGATTCTATCATTTTTTTATGTATATAGGCGACAGGTTGATATGATAACATTAAAAATTCACAGTACTTAAAATGAAAATATGGGTCAAGCGAAATACCTTTCTAAAGAGTCATAATAACAGTGTGGATTTGTTTGAATAACACCTTTTTACTAAAAGTACTTAACGACAGACTTGACAATGGTCCTGAAAGTTTATTAAATGATGCTTGATCTGTGTCTTTAAATATTCATCTGTCATGTAAGAATCGTATTGAAGCTATGTGGATAAATTTATCGGTTTTCAAGAGCTACATTGACAGCGCGTCATCCCGAAAATGGCTTCGATTTTAACGATTAAAAAATTATGTGGCGTAACGGGGAGATTATTTTTGACGAAGTTGAATCCTGACTGCATTAGAAAAAGAGAACAGTAATCGAGCGGAACCATCTTGAAGACACTGTAGGGGCGCACCGAGACTTGAAAGATTCAAAACTTTTCTCGCGCACCTTCAATAAATCGACGCTTCTCTCTCTACCGTTGTATCGGTATTAGTATCAACAACGTGATACAGATACAGATACTGATTTTCACATTTTTCTGACGCAGTCAGTATAATTTTAGTTTGAAACCCATTTAAAAAGGACCCTTCACTATGTTAACGGTATGCATGATGTCACAAATCTTTATTCTGATTGGACGAAATAACGGAATTGAAAAAAAGGAAAAAAGGCAAGATGCTTTTTTAAAAAAAAAAGAAAAGCAATACGTGAACCCAAGACCGCTGACTGGTCACCAAACAATTGTTGATGAATTTTCGTTTGCTTTTGAATTGAAATAATTGACTGTGAATAGAATAAGATAATAAAGATGTTTTAACATCTTTATTAGAAATATTCAATTGTGTGTTGATTCTTGCACAAGTCAGTTGAAAGCAATGTTGGATAGTTGTGAATAGAAAAATGAATATATACAGCTTCTATTTGAATATACATTTTAAAGCTCGACTATTTTATTTATTATTTGGGAATGTACATCATTTTTTCATCACCCTTTTGCAAATCCCAGTTTCTACAAACCGGATGTCTATTTCAAATTGCACAAACCAATCGCAATATAAATTTAAGCACTCAGTTTGCTTAATAATCTGAATGCATTTATTTTATCTATCATATCTTCATATTTTGTTTCCTGCATGGATGCCTTCAATTATTCTCAACTCGTTTTTGAAGCTGTCTGTACTCATAGTAGATGTTGTATAGATAAATTTAAAGTCCAATTTCCATCTGAAGTGAAACCCTGTGGCATGCAACTTATATAAGAAGGTTAATTCTTATATTTTTCTTGAGAGTAACACACCAGCTTCATTGTGACCTTTTATATAAAGACTTATTTTGGTTTCATAAAACATCTCAAATTATAAGGACTTCCTGATTTTATCAATCCATATATTCTACAGGAAAACTTGGTTTTGAAGAATATCTAATTTTCAGAAGTTTTATGAATACCTGAACCGAAAGACCAATTTATATAAAAAGATATGTAGATGTAAAAAGATACCAGGATTATAATGTTGTACGCTAGACGCGAGTTAAGTCTACAAAGATTCAACAGTGACGTTTGAATAAAAAAAGTTAAAAAGGCCAAATCAAGTACGAAGTAAAGTAATCTATTCCTTAGGTAGAAAATCCTTAGCATTTCGAAAATGTCAAAGTTTATAATAGGACAGTGACTAAAAAAAAGAGAAACAGCTAGAGATCAGAATACCGTAAGTAATGATAACCGTGCTTGAAAGTCACATGTCAAGCTATTACTGCCGTGTCCTGAATTTAGATCAGAAAAGCGAAAATTCGCATTCACGAGTGAAATTAATATTTATGCATGCACGTGGTATTTTTGCGCAAGAATTAGTAAATAGAAAGCATACGCACTGATACTCTGGATAAGAATACGCATTTGTACCATAGTACAAATATTTAGATGCTATAGGTTGCACTTTGTAAAAACAGCTGTTTTTCAAACCACGCCTCTTTTGGGGAAATATATAATATTCATAGACAATTAATTTTGTTTACGTACTGGTTCCCGGATATGATCTCTATGTTTCATCTCATAGAGACATAACTTGGGAATGTTACTAGTAAGTATACATATTCATAGTGATCAAGTTGAAGTCTGTGGAAATCCTTAAGTCAAGGTTAGGGTAGTATAGAAATTTAATGTAAGTTTAAACTCTTAGAAGTTAGGGGCATATAAACGTTGAAAATATGCCGCACAGCCCTATATTTTTCTTCAAAACTTCATAGTAAAAGTGGTACAGTTTTAGCCGTGAAAGGAGTTCCTATGGGAAATTGCATTATTAATATTAACAAAAATGCAACCTATAAGGTTGAACTATTAAAACAAACAAACAAAAAAAGAATTGAAATTTATTAG